TTAGCAAATGCCTGGCACATAGTTGGAGCTTAATACATGTTTATTGATTGACTGATTGACCTCCATGTGTCAGGTTCAGTGCTAGACTCCCAGCTTGAGGAGACAAAAATGAAATCATCCCTGTCCTCAAGAGGCTGACATTCTATTGGCCATGAATGATGAGCAAGTTTTCAATACTGTATTCAGAGATGGGGCCTTCTAAATCAGTTCTGTCCTGATTCTCTCAGTTGTAAATTTTCTATCAGCCAATCAGTCAATCCACAGGCACTGTGCTCAACTCTGGGGCTGCAATGACAAAGTAAGTCCCTGCCTTCAAAGAGCTTACATTCTAATGGGGGATAAGACTAGATGTAGAGCAGTTGAAAGATCAGCTTAGAAAGGAAGGCATTAACAATTGGGCAGTGGTAAGGGGGAGCCCTGGAGGGGTCTCCTGCAGAAGAATCTTTAATAAAGACAGGGATTATGAAAAACAGAGGTAAGAAGAGAACATTCTGGGCGTTGGACTTGGGATAGGGGTAGGGGAAAGGGGAGCCATGAGCTACTTGGTATGATTTTGTTTGAACTTGGTTTTTCTGGGTATGTGTCATGTCCTTCCCATTAGATTGCAAACTCCTTCCAGACCTGACATTATCTTTCATTTCTATTTTTGTACCCTCTACATTTAGTATAATGTCTGGAATAAGGTAGATAGATACTTATGAAATATTTTTTGCATCTGTATTTGAATTTGGAGGAAGATGCTGAGTTTTGTGTTAATGACGTCTACCACTGCTCAAAACATGTTCATATTGTTCTGGATTCTAAGTTTTAGAGTGTCACCCCCTCCCCCCCAGCAGGCTAGCATAATGTCTTTTTTTTTTTTTTAAGTGTGTTCTTCATGCCATTATAGCCACATGAATCCTAGAACTGAATCCAGGAGTCCTTATCCAACGTGGTAGCTTTACCATTGAGAGATGAGAAGTCACATTGCAACAAAGGAGATGGGCTAAACATTAGGAAAATTAATGTGACCATTATTCTAGTTAAATCTCTCTTACAGATGTTAGATATTTATGGGAATGGTTTATTTTTAAAAAAGCCAACAATAACAAACAAAAAACCACCATGATCTACTGAGCAGGTTGACGGTCTGAGAAATCCTGCAATGCAGTAAAGAAAATAATCCATCTGTTCCAGGCATATAAAAATAACAGCAGGGTGAAAGCGTGCCTGCTTGGACATAGGAGATCTCCTTCGGTCAGGATGACTCTCCAAACCCCACAGGAGAAAGTCCTGAATAAATTTTGGGTAGCTCTGAATCTTGAAAAATAAGGATTTCCTGACTTGGTTCTCAGGTCTATTCATCAGACCTAGGAAGAGTTGGAAAGGAACATTTAGTGCAATGATACCTATTCTCTGGTAATGTAGCAGCTTAGTCTGGCCATAGAATTCAGGCTTTGAAGGAATCTTCATTGCTTAATCAATTAAAGAAGAAGAAAAGGAAAGGAAAGGAAGGGAAGAGAAAAGGAAGGGAAGAGGAAAGAGGAGAAAGGGGAAGGAGGGCAAAGAAGAGAAGAAAGAAAAGGAAGAGGAAGAAAGATAGAAAGGGAAGGGAAGAGGGGAGAGGGGAAGGGGAAGGAAGGGAAAGAAAGAAAGGAAAGGAAAGGGGAGAAAGAGGGAAAGGGAAGGGAAAAGGAAAGAGAGAAAAAGGGAAGGAAGGGGGAAAGAAAAAGAAAAAAGGGAAAGGAGGGGGAAGAAAGAGAAGCAGAAAAAAGGAAAGGAAAGGGAAGAAAGAGGGATGGGAAAAAGAGGAAACTTAACTAGACAAAACTCCATTTATCCGGCAAACCAATTTGGAGGAAAATCGATGTTTCTTCCCTGACTGAAAACTCCCCTCAAGTTGATATGTCTTTAAATTGGGGAAATGCTTAATTGTTGACAAACGATTAAAAATTAGAGAGGAAAACAGTGGAATCCTCATCTCTAAAAGCCAAATGAAACAAGGAGGGGAAATGGGTAGATACATAAGGCAGTGTTTTATCTTGTCTATCTTAATAGTTGAAGTGGGAAGAGTGTGTGTGTGTGGGGGGGGCAGTTGGGGGGCAGTTTGTGTTGACAGAAGATCTAGAAAGTTAGAGAAAGGGATGTCCAATGAGTTTCCTTTCTCCTGTTCTTTGCCTCACTAGCCCTATGGGACCAAATCCCCAGGCTGTCCTGTATACTTTGCTCTATGTCTTCTTTGTGATTTAGTTAAGTTACCCCTTCGGTGAAGCAGCCACTCTGGGAGTTCCCTGCTTCAAAGCTGGTAAAGGGTCTGATCACTGGATGGGGATGTATAGCCCCTTCTTCCGGTCCCTACCCTGCCAAGATCCAGATAGAACCTCATTGCTTATACTGCAGTTTTCTATAACCTAACTGGCAGAACAGCTATTCAAATTTTAAGCTTCTGAATGCAGTGAGATCAACCTGGCCCATCCACATAAATAATTTTGACACGATAAGTATGCGAGTGCGATGATAACCGATAAGTGAAGCAATTACCTTGCTTTTTTGGATTATATTAAATGAATATTCTGATAGAGTAATGAAAAGAGACAAAGCCCACAAAAAGGTGGTTGCAGAGCTTTTGGGCCCTGTGTTATCTCTATTATACCATATTGAAATAGAGAAGCTATCACCAATCATGCATTTCTGTGTAACTTCTGGCTTCTAACGGTGAACAAGGAATAAATTGTCACAGGACAGTAACTGATAAATTGGGATTGGCAATGCTTTTTTTTTTCAAAGTGTAAATAAACTTACTAGTCACTTTCCCCTCCCTCAGACTGGATTTGGGGGAGAGCTGACAACTTGGAGGCAGTGTGCTATAGGGGAATGATGGAGAGATTCCCAGTTAGAAGACTTCTCCTGCTTCCTGGCTAGCTGTCTGACCTTGGGGGAATCTCCCAGTCTCCTTATAAAATGATGGTTGGTGGGAGTGGTTATGGAGGCGGGGGTAGCATTGATGAGAAGCTACTGACCTCTCAGGTCTTGGATGAGGATTCCATGACAGAATGTATGTGAAGCTCTTTGTCGTCACAAAGTACTACAGAGGGGCAGCTAGCTGGCACAGTGGATAGAGCACCGGCCCTGGATTCAGGAGGACCTGAGTTCAAATCCGGCCTCAGACACATAACACTTACTGTGTGACCCTGGGCAAGTCACTTAACCCTGTTGCCTAAAATAACAACAACAAAAAACAAACAAACAAACAAAAACCAACAAAAAACCAAAATACTACAGAAATGCCAGCATTTTCTGAGAGATTATTGTTATTTTAAAGCCCTGTACTGGAGTAGAGAAATCCTAACTTTAAATCCTATCTTAGATACTAGTCAGGTAACCCCTCTCTGAACTTGCTTCCTCATCTGTAAAGAAAGGGATTAGACATCTGGTGATTTCATTCATACAGGAAACTTCGAAGTGAGAAGGCTCTCAATACCACAGTAGGTCAGTACCTTCTTTTCATTTTATAGTTTTTGAGAGTGCAGAGCAGAAAAGTTAAGTGACTTTCTCAGGGTCACATAGCCAGTATGCGGCAGGGGCAGTAGTTACAGACCCAGTTTTCCTGGGTCCGAGGATACCCCCTCACCACCATACCATACCACCTCTCATCTTTAAAATGGGTACATTAAGAACACTATTGGTAGGCCTCAGAGGAGATAATATCTGCAAAGTTATTTGCTGATATCTTAAAGCAGTGGTATCTTAAATCAAAATGGGGGCCATTCTATAAGGATCCTTGGGAAAACCACATATTAACATTACCTATGTTCTACTGTATTTTTATTTGTTTTAGTTGAATATTTCCCAATTGTATTTTCATCTGGTCCAGGTTGTGCTCAGGAGTGTTGCTTGACATCAGTGGCACTGATCATTATTACTACTGATGCTATTGATATCATTATCAATAGGAGGAGTAATATTCCCTCCTTCTACCCCCATTCTTTTCTTACTCACTAGTTTGAAAGAAGCTCGGAGTGTGGAAGCCTCACTGTCAATTTTTGCTATTTCGTATTCCCAGGGCAAGGATGCTGCTGTCTTGCTGGATTTCTATGCATTTGGTACTTGGGATCGGCTTTGATTTCAAATTTCCTCTGATCTAATAAAAAGGCATAGCGTTATTAAAAAATATTCCTCTTGGTATCCCCAGGGCCTATTACACTGCCTTGCGCATAATGGATACTTAATAAATATTTGTTGAATTGGTGAATTAAATTTACAGGGGGGGAGGCATAGGAAGAAGCAGGCTTCAGGTTGCAAAAGCAAGCAAGAGAAGAATGAGATAGAACCTGCAAAAGGAATGGAGGCAGAATGATGGAAGGAGCAAGGCTGAGGTTATAAAGAGCAGAGGTAGAGGGCGCACAAAGCAATCCTAGGCGTTGCCAACCACCTCGAGATGACCAGTCACAGCACTGAGGTTTTGACCCAATATCGACTTAATCTGAACTCTGCCCAGCGGGTGGACCTTTCCCCAGACTCACAGTTTCTGTTCCAGAGTCATAGGCTGCTAGAGGCATGCTACACGGGTTCTTAGAAGCCAATTGGTCCAACCTGGTAGGTAGGCATAAAACCAAGACCCATCCTTGTTAGGTAATCTCAATGCCAGGTCTGCCATTAGATCAGTCCATTATTAGATACACATTCCAGTCCTCTGTGAACTGCCCTGCCCACTTCAGATACCCGTGAAGTAAAGATTCAGGAAAGGATTTGGACTTCATGGGAAGGCACCTAAAAGAGAGAGGATGGTGCGGTTGTCGGTGGTTTTCTGGGGCCCTGGGCACGAGTCTAGAGGGATGACTGGAGAGGGGTGTTTGCAGCGGCGGGGAGGAGGAGGAGCAGCAGGGGTAGGCTGTGTATGTACTCTTGATATCTAATCTCCTGGCCCTTCAGGCATGGCATAACTAATGACCTTGGTTCAGGCTTAGATGAATGGGAGGAGCAGGGTACATTACATGCTAAGAAGGACGAACCAGAAAGCGTTTCAGATGCAGGAATCAGAGGAGCTTAGGTAGAAGAGCTCAAAGCGACCTTACAAGCCGTCTGGACCAACTCCCCTCCTTTTACTGCAGAAACAGGCCTAGAGACAGTCATTGACTTGCCTTAAGTCACAGACGCAGTAAGTGGCAATATGAGAATTTGAAACCAGGTTCTCTGACCTTGAATCCAGAGTCCTTCCCCTGTACAGCATTAACTGACGGATCATAGGAATACAGAAATAGAACTGGAAGGGACCTCAGAAGCTGTGTACTCCAAGCCTCTCATTTCACAAATGAGGAAACTGAGGCTCACGAGCTTTAAGTGACTTATCCAAGGTCACGTAAGTTCTAAACAGAAGAGCTATAATTTGAATCTAGAGCAGGGGTCCGTAATCTGGTGACTATGTGAACTTATTTTTATTTTTTATTAAGTATTTTGGTAGTTGTATTTCCATATAATTGGTTTTCTTGGCAATCTAATGTCTTTTATTTTCTGCATTTGAAAACATTATTCTGAGAAGGGATCCATAGGTTTCACCACACTGCCAGAAGGCTCTGTGACCCACAAAGGTATAAGAACCCCTGTTCTGGAGAGTCAACAATCCTTTCTTTAGGGAAAGTCTGCTCTGCATTTCCCTTAAGTCCTAAGACTTTAGGGATCAGGGTAAGTTGGTAGACTATTTGCTGAGCTGATACCTTAAAGTGGGGTGGGGGTCATAGAAGGGGCTGATGTTTTAATATGGGGTTCCCTTATCTTTCTTCACTAAGAAAATAGAAACAAAAACATCCATATTGCTATTTTCGAGTGAAAGAGACAATAAAGTTATGAAAAGTTAATCCAATTCAATTAAATTATTATCATCCTGGCACTTAAAATAACATTTGTTCAGCATTGACAAGTCTGTGGTCTTAGAGCACTCGCAAGGAATTTGCTTTTTAGGGCCAGAACAACAACAACAAGGATATGAAGCTGGTGCCAATGAAGAGTATTGGATCTTTGAGTGTTTTTCCTGAGTTCTTTGTCAGGAGGCCTGCCCAGCTCAAGCCTCCCAGCTGCTCAACACATACGTTAAGGGGGCATTTGGGAAAAGAAGTCCAAAGCGTGTGGGGGCCAAGATGGAAGGAGTAGGCAGAGGAATGTGGTTGTCGTCAACCCCAAAGCAAGAGCCTGGCTTTTAGTAACTTGGAAGGAGATCCACTTTAAAGGCTTGTCCACAAGACTGGCTTCACAGCCTTCTGGCTTACCTTCCCCTAGACTCACAGTTTCTGTTCCAGAGTCATAGGAAGTTAGGTGGCATGCTACAAGGTTCCTTAGAAGCCAATTTGTCCAACTTGGTAGGTAGGCATAAAACCAAGACTCATCCTTACTGGACAATCTCAATGTTGGGCCTGTCATTAGCTCAGTCCATTATTAGATACACATTCCAGTCCTCTAATCCAGTCTTCTGTCATCTCATTAGTATGTTTGTGTATCACAGCTTAGCCATGCCTCCCCACCCTGGGCAACTCTTGTCCATCCCACGGATTGGCAAACTATGGCCAGAGGGTCCAATTGGCTGACCTGTTTTTTGTATGGTCCCTAGCCTATAGTGGTTTTTACATGTTTAAGTACGATAAAAGTTTATTTAAAAAAATGTAAAATCCATTCATAGCTCACTGGCTATACAAAGCAGGCTGCATATGGCCCACAGGCTGTAGTTTCCAACACTGATCTATGCCCTCTTATATGTTGATCATAGGGGATTCATTCAAATTAAAGAGTGAGGTGGGTTTTCTCAAGTTCTTTTCGCTTAAGGAACAGTGCCTAGGACATAGTCAGCTCTGACTAAATGTTTTTGGATTGAGTGATAGAGAAAGCTTCTGGAATCCACAGATTGCTCATTGCTCTCCCCTCACTCTCCCTGAATGACCTCTGCACCTTCTTTGTTCAATCATACATCTTTTTGATAGCATCTTTTACATTCCTTCCCCTGCATAATTCCTTGTTTACAATGCAAAGCAGCTTATACTCCTACTACCTGCTTCCCCAAGGCCCTTTGAGTGAGCCTGACCTTCAATTCACTTATTCAAATAATTTACTTGTTTTTTATTTTATATTATTTTATTTTATTTTATTTTATTTTATTTTATTTTATTTTATTTTATTTTATTTAATTTAATTTATTTTATTTTATTTTACTTTTTTGGCCAAATAGAGAACAATTAGAGATACTTACTTAACATCCAAAGGCAAGACAGAAACTCTAAGGGGAAGGAGTTGTACCAAAGTCAAGAACCTTGGGTCCCAAGATAAAAAAAAAAATCAAAGACCCTGTTACCAGCAGTCTTTCCCAGCACTTAAGACAATGCTTATCAGTCAGATAGCCAGCTAGCATTCATTAAACACTTACTGTGAGCTAGGAACTGTGCTAAGTGCTATTTTGTTTTGTTTTGTTTTTTTAAAGGGAAAATCAGTCCCAGTCCTCTAGCTTACATTCAAATGGGAGAGACAAAATGCAAATAGTTATGTAAATACAGGATATATGGGGAGTAGATGGAAAATAATCTGAGAAGGGGAAGTCACTAGCAGGCAGGGGGAGCAAGAAAGACCTTCTGTAGAAGGTGTGAGTTACATAAGGTGGGATTTGAGTTGTGTCTTCTGGAAGCCAAGGAAACTCAGAAGCTAAGGCAAGGAGAGAGAACATTGTAGGCATTGGGAAAAGCCATTACAATGGCATGGAGGCAAGAGATTGAGTGTTGTGTGTGATGTGGCAAATAGTAAGAATGTGATAAGTGGTTATTCAATCATTCATTCCTAGGAAACCATTCACATGGAGAGGACATGTGAAACAAGTTGTCAATCAGACAACAAGCATTTGTTAGGCACTTATTATGTACCAGGCACTCTACAAAGTTTTAAGGGATACAAAAAAAGGCCAAAAAACGGTTTACCCTCACGGATCTTATATTCTAATGGAGAAGACAACATGTACCTAATTTGGAATGCTTAAGATTTATACATAGACGGAAGGTAATCTGAAAGGGAAAGGCATTAGTAAATGTGGGAACCCAGAAAGGCTTCTGCATTAGGTGAGATTTGAGCTAAATCTTGAAGGAAGCAAAGAAAACTCCCAGGGAAACAGTGCATTCCAGAGATGGGGGTCAGCTAGTAGAATAGCATAGAGATGGCATTGGGGTATCTTGTGAGAGCAGCCACAAGTAGTCCAGAGTAACTGGACCATAGACTATGTGGAGGTGGTTAAGGTCTAAGTAGACTGGAAACATAGGAATTGCCCATGTTATGGAGAGCTTTTAAACGCAAAAAAGGGAGGGCATTTGATCCTAGAGGTAATAAGGAGCCATTGGAACTTATTGAGCAAGAGGAGGGGTGACATGGTCAAGCCCAAACTACAGAAAAACCACTTTGGCAGTGAAGTGGGGGACAGATAGAAATGGAAAGAAACTTGAGGCAGGGAAACCAGTTTGAAATCTATTGCAAGTCATTCAGCTAAAAGATTGTAGGTGCTGAATTAAGGCTGTGGTGAGATGGGTGGAGAGAAGGGAACATATAGGAGATGTAGAAACAATATGATTTCACCATGGATTGGATAGTGAACAGCCAAGGGAGCTTGATTACGTAAAAATAAATAAGGGGTTTCCTGTGCCTGTTTCAGTCTCTTCTGATTCTAGAGCTCTTGTTGACTGATTTCAAGATGGCTGGGAGTGGATATAAAAGATTGGATTAGAGATTTACAGCTGGAAGGGACCTTAGTGGTCATTTGGTCTAACTCCCTCATTTTGACAATTAGAAATGGAGACGCAGAGATGAAGTGACTTGCCCAAGGCCATACCATTAGTAAATGGCAAAGTCAGTTTACTACATCAAGCCCTATTACTTGAGAAACTGTAATCTATCCACTCACTGAACACTACTAGTTCATGTTCTCAAAAAGCACTGGTTAACCAACCTGTGAAATCTACTTGATTATGTCACTCCTAACAAACAAGATGAAACATGGCTTGTAAAACACGAAAAAAAGATTCTAAGGCCTCTAAGGACCCTAGACAATGACAGAGCCGATGGATTATCGCTGTCGATCACTTTACTTGTAAAGTAAATGGGAAATCCATAGGAGATAATAACAAGCAGACTGGGCAATAGAATATGAGTATTTCTTGAGATGGCAGCCCCAGAACCTGAGCTCATCAGGACCCCCAAAGAAGTGACCACTCTTCAATCAAATGGCAGGATAAAATGATGGATGGGTGATGATGGAATGCTTACATGTTAGAGGAACAGAAAGGGATGGTGAATGAGTGATTAGAAGTGAAAAGAAAAATATTAAGCCAATATCTTCCTCCTCCATTCTCCTCTTCTTCTTATTTCTGTTTTCAAACAGATAAAAATTAAGTTGTCCCCACCCTTCGACTCTGAGGTCCCTGTCCTCATGAAGGGAAGCATTGGCAACCTTCTTCCTGGCAAAGATGGAGGCAACGTTTTTCCTACTGAGGAAACAAGCTCTCTTGATATGGTTGGTGTAGAAGGGAAATGTACAAAGGAACAATATTCCCCACCCTCAAAGCAATCTTCCATCATTATAAAGCCTTACATCGATCTTCTTTTTTAAGGTTACAGTTGGCAGAAAATGATTGTAAGCACAGTAGAACTTAATGAGTAACGCTATCAGCGTCCAAGAGAGAGGTTATCTAATTGCTTCAATTACTAAAGAAATGAAGCCTATGTGTTTCCTCCCAGCCCGTTTATAATGTTTTTGGACCTTCACTGTAGGCTAAACGGACGCCAAAAGTACCACAACAGACAAATGGGCATGCACAAACACACACGCAGACCCATCTCTCACCTCTGAGATAATTATCCCTGAGGGATGCCAGCTTCTGAGCTGGGTTCAAGTTGACTAAGGGGTGCCAAAGGTATCTGAATATTCTTTCTATTTGTTCATTTGGCTGTTGGATTTCATTCACTGCTGGGTCATGGGGTTCTGGGACTAACAGAACCGAGGAGTTCTCCAGATGCGAAATTCTTTGAAAAGCATTATTTTTCCAGCAGGGAAGCAAATGCTTTCATCGGAAAAATATGTCTTACTTAGCGCTCTAAAACTTTGCGTTTGGCATGGTGAAATCGAACATAAAACTTTCCTTG